AAAACTTACTATTTAGCATCAATAAATCCCGTTTTCGACGGGCTTTCATCTGGTATAAAATTCATTACTTACCCTATTCGCAATTATAGCGTTACCCCCCTGGAAAAACATTTTTACGCACCCTGTATAGACGCATCCTACAGAACTGAATAGAAGGACGGTATAAGTAGAATACGTCTCCTGATACTCTGTGTATAACTTGTAATTAAGCTTCATGCAAATGATGAAGATGTCTAAAGTCTGAAACTTCTAGGCCATGCATTTTTCTAAGCAAGTGGTCGGTTTGTAATAAATACTAATTCATATGACGTGAATGTAAGTATCTATTCTGAACCCAAACAATCCCAGGAAGATTTATGACGATTGTAAAACCCTGTTTAGATGATTTCTCTCCCTACATAGGTACCTATATCACTCGTACAAATGTTTGTTGAACTCCTAAAGAACAAGTATCAAGTAAAATAATGTCTGAACATATTGCATCAAAGTTATCAATCAATTGATAGACCAATAGTTTGTAATAACAGAATATTCAATTATCCACTAATATAGCAGCGTGAAATAGAAAAAATACGCCACCAAGCAGTATTTTCTCCAAAACCGTAACTACAATACCATTTTCAGTATACCAAAATGTGTGGTTAGCCAATAATAATTAATATACTTAATTATATATTAATTAAAATTAAAATTTTCGAATAAAATACATCCGTTTTTGAAGTTGTGAATCGGTTTTTTACAAAGAAAAATATTAGGAACTTTTTTCAAATATACGAAAAAGTATTAGATAAGCAAAGCGGTGTGGTGTGTAAAATTATCAAAAAAGAGCTAAACGTAAGAAAAGTATAAGTCCGGAATATATACACATTTCTATTAAGTCTTTTTACAAAAAAATTTGTTTGTACATATAAAATGTGTAACAAAAACGAGAACTTCAGACTAATTAGAAGAGGTAAATAGAAATGATAATGAATAAGATCGTCAATATGCTGTTTAACATTGTCTGAATTAAAGTATGTGCTGTCGTTATTGCTGCTGATGTTGGTTGTGTTGGTGCTACTGATGTTGGTGGTTCTGGTTCAAGTTTACTTGTTCGTGTCTGTAGGGCTGAAAGAGCATCTGTATCATCTCCCAGTGAATCTTTTAAACGATCATAAACACTTGAATGATATTCATCGATAATCTGAATTTGCTCCTTTGTCAACAAGCTTGTATCAATGAGTGATCGCTCATACGGTAAAATGGTTATTGTGTTGAATTTTAAAAATCTGGTTTGGGTATAATTACTTTTATTATTAGCCACAACAACTTCGACATCATTTTCAATTCGAATACCAAAGTCATTGTTTTTGTAAAAGCCCGGTTCATCGGAAACAAACATGCCTTCAGCAAGAGGTTCTTCATACTGATTATACTGATCCGCAATATCTGCAAAAAAAAATGTGTGATTGATCATCATACGGATATATAATTAAAATTATTACTTTGCGGGCCTTCATGAACACTTAGATAATGGCCAATACCTATGGAGAAAGAGAGAAGATAATAAAATATGTAAAAATAGAGAAATAAATTGCTCTTACCATGACCAGTACCGTGACCGTAAATCATTCCGTCTTTAAAAAGATGCATTCGGGCTAAATGATCCAGTGACCGCCCATATGTGTTTTCAGGAAATACTGTTGAAGCTAAATCAACAACTCCTTGCAATACCCGAGTATATGCTCGACGTTCTAATGTTGTTGGTCGACCGAAATGATGTGTTCGTGTTATATCTGTCGTACAATCAGAATATTGGCCACCTGCCTAGGAAAAAAAGAGCAATTTCCAAGATTAATGTTATTAAATACAATTTAATGAAACTTTCACCTAGGATGAGCCGAAATGAATACTAAGTTACTTGCGTTTGATGTGTAGAAATAATTAGAGATTTTAGACTCATTGCTACTGGTAAAAAAGCATTTTCACAGATGTCAATTATATTCGTCAACTTTGTCATGTCTTCCTACGATTTTTCGATTTGCAGAAATAATCAAAAACTTTATTACAAGAATGTACTTTTGACGATGCATTGAAGATCTAATTAAACAAAATGTTTATATTAAATTCCTTACATCTAACAAATAAATTTGATCTTTTCTTATTTCTCTTGCTGTTTCGGGTACTGGTGAATAATGAACAACTGCTGCTCGATCACCCGCGGCTGAAATTGTTGAAAAACTTGGATATTGAAATTCCTGAAACAATTTAAATCAACATCGTTGTGGATGTTTTTTTATTGTGAACAATATTTTTAATACTTACGGCTTGTAATTTTTGATATTCTAATAATTTTGCGGCTGATTCTGTTTCATTTATCTTTATATTATTATTTAATTGTTTTTCGAGCCAACCGAGATGTTTCATTCTTGCCACAGCATCACGTAATTGACATGCTCTCATTCCTTGTCTTTCTACCGGATTTTTTTTTGCTTTTATTCGTTGTACTGGTGAATTTTGAAGTGATAGCTTCTCGTTTGGAATTACACTATAAATGGCTGCCGAAACTTTTGAACTAATCAAAATTTTTTTAATCGTTGAATTTTCTATAGTTGAATTTATGCGCGTCCAAAACATGTTATAATTCTGATATCGAATTCCAGCAGCATCTAGCTGTGTTCGTGCTTCTGAGTCTAATTGACTAACATTTAAAAATAGTTCCGGTTTATCGGTGGAATAATTAACATGTACAATAGCGTAAGATTTGAAAAATGGGTTATATGGAATATCTTTTCCTCTCAAATTAAATAGCCAAGCAGTTTCATCAAGCGCACTAATAATAACTGATTGGACATTAACTCGTCTTAATTCACCGCTTGTTTTGTTCAATTTACTATTGATATCTTCACCGGCATATTTGAAGGAATGGATGACGATAGGTTGGGTTGAAAGTGGTGGTCGATTTGTCCAAATCTTGACAACCAAATCATCAACACTTACCAGTGTTATATTATTATTTTTCTGCAATTCATCTAATGCAGTTGTCCACCAATTTACGGTCGCAAAGCGAGTTGTTACACCAACGTTCTAAAAACATACTGTATTCATTAATATTTCAAAGACTTTTTTTAATCAAACTTTTAAAAATATAATACTTTTTCCATAAATCATAGAAATTGTATAACCAGAAATTTTTCATTAGAAAAATGACTGGCTAGATCATATTATATTATAAAATTTAGCTATATATACCTTTCTTGTAGCGGTAAGAACAGAAATTAACCACTTATTAATTGTTGGTACATCTTTTTGTCTATCTTTCATTAGTAACCAATTTTTACAATCCAATTGTTCTTCAGCTTGTTGAAAATAACGACTATCTGTCCATAATGCTGCTTTATCGGTTGTTACCACGGCTGTACCAGCTGAGCCTTGAAAACCTGTTAGCCAGTCACGTTTTTTATCCGCCGCTTCGGTATAGCCGGAACCATGTTCATCACCAGCAAAAATAATATAGGCATCAATATTAGCTTTTCGCATTTCCTCTCTAAGCTGACGGAGTATTTCTGTTGTGTCTTTTTGACCAACGCTACTATTACAAGTATTATCGCTCCGCTGTAGCTGAGGTGCCCCGTTGGCCACACTGATGTAACATACAGCAGAAACAAGAAGTATCAGTAATCTAATACAGTTGTTGCTCATTTTCAGCCAAATCTCACGTATTTTATCTTAAAAACAAAATAGGAAGGCATTAACTAACTAAAATATTAAATAGACGAATATAAAGTCAGAATATGTTCATCCAAAAAACCAACCAACTAACCATCTTGCTAATGAAACCTGATGAAATGGTAGGTCAAGATGATTATCAAAAAGTATGTGAGATTCTATGTTCTTCTTAAAAAAATAAGCGCTTGGTATTCCAAATCTAATAAAGAAAAATAAACTTTAAAAATTGAAAATCTGCAGTTTATAGACTGAAATTTCTATATAACAATTTTCTAACTTTCAACTACTATCGTATTGGTTGCAGAGCATCTTACAACAATCGGTTAAGACATAGATGTATTCTTTTCGAAATATATCTTAGATTATATTGTCTTAAGTACTTCATCCAGTTTGTCTTACTATTATACAAATTGAATACTAAGTACTTTAGTACCTTGAACAAACAGCTGGTATACTCAAAAACTTACCTGCTCACAGTATTAAATACACGCGTACATTGAAAGCAGTAGCGTTTTTTTATTCTATACTATTAATAATCTCTGACATTAATGATTAGGATAACAAGAAAACTAAAAGTGAAAAAGTAATGTTCTCCTTTCTCTTCTCTCGATTGTTCTTTATGACTTGTGCATGATTTTGTTTCGATAGATATGTTAGAAAGATCAGTGTGATGCTTATATGGTATTTTCTAACCAGATGCGATCAATATTAGGATTTCTAGACGAAAAGAAATCTGTTTTCAGAACAATTCAGGTTATATGTACAGTTTAGCAAATTAATACTATTGTCATGAATATACATTTTTTTACGAAAATAAAACCTTTTCGAGGAAAAAGAAATATCTTTCTTACGTCTTTTAATAAGAACAGAAGAACATTTTATATGCTATTGTTGAGATAAGAGTAAATAGTCACCAAAGAGTTTACCTATAGAGGGTAATAGCAATAAGAAAGATTAGAAGAGCAAAGAAATTGTTCTTTCTTTTCGGTCTGAAATAATAAAGAAAATATAGATAAAAATTAACTACAGCGATTTTTAGTTTTTATAACTCAAGAAATTAAATATAAATCAATTTTTGAAACTTTTTTGTCAACTATTGATGAGTTGAAATTTGAATAAAAAAAAGCCTAAAATTTGCATTTTGTTAACTTCTGAACTACTGGAAAAAAAGCTCGTTTTCACGAACTTCGATAATATGCCGTAAGCTGTCTGCATATTCCCAATTGTTTTCGCTTATATTTTTAAGCAGTACAGATTCAAGATTCAAAGCTACCTCCGGTATAAAATCTGGACGGAGTCAGTTTTGGGTTTCTCGAGGAATTCTCTCTGATTCCTAACAAATGTTCGAGACGTATTTCAAAGATTTGTCGCTTTTTCTTCAAAACAAACGTCAGATTCGCAATGTGCACAAAATACTGCATCGAAAGACATATTAGACTAATTGTTCTCGAATAAAAAATTACGTCAAAACTGAGCTTGGGGCAATTATCAGAAATAATTTTTTCTTAAGAAAGTTAAAGTCTAACATATTTATGTTTATCGATATTTGCAAAGTATATTACATCGATACAACCTCATAAATAAATGTACTATACTTGTTTAAATGTGATAATTAATTAGCATAAGTATTTTAGGTGAAGGTTTTATAAGGTCTTTCTGACATTGTTGATGGTACGTTTACACACGATCACGGTAAAAATTGTTCATTGTTTATTTTAAAAAAATGTTTATTATCAAATAAAATCAAAACAAGGAAGATCTTTGACTAGAACAACGATAAGAGAGTATATTTTTTAGTCTGTGGGTAGATAAAGGAGAAACATTGAACCGAATTAGCATAAAAAATCACCTCAAGCCTTAAATCGATGAGTCTTCTAATGGCGTTCGATTTGATCATAACCGAACAATCTACACATTCCATCAGGAAGTAATTTTCTATATAAAAAATGGTTAACACATAACAGATAAAAGGGCTGTGGTTTCGAGCTCCTCACACATATAAATAGCATGGAATAGTTTTTTTTTCGTGCTTTTCAAAAAATGGTTTATTTTTTTGCAACAAAGAACTGTGAAATTTTCTAAAATCAGCCGTTTTGTAGAGCAAACATTTTTCTACAAGATGACAGGTAGTAGATATTTGTAAAGTTGCTTGATTTCTTTAAAAATCGTTTTTGATAGAATGGCCCAGCAGTTAAAACTGCGGTTATTTAACTGCTGGGTCATTCTGTCAAAAACGGTTTTGCCATATTGTAGAGAAATGTTTGCTCTACAAAACTGCTGATTTCAGAAAATTTCACAGTGCGTTGTTGCGAAAATGTAAACCATTTTTCGAAAAATATGACAAAAAAACTGTTGCATGTCTACATACAAAGTAGAGAAGTAATCGATTTCCTACAATACGATGACTCATTCGAGTTCAGTCGATAAAACTCGATAAATTAGTGAGTGTGATAAATTCCAATACGATGATCATAAACAAAGAGAATATTAGGAGAAGAAACATATTGAAAAATCAACGTAAATTTGAAATCCGTCGTTTCACGCAGTGAGTTTTCTTCCGTCTCGGGCGGAAGAAAAAAACACTTAGTGAGATAAATGAGTCAAATTCTCCTGAAAATTCCAAGAGCCGCATATTTTTATAATGAAGAATTCATCTTACTACTCTACCTTTGGTATAAGAGGAACATCATTTCGGCTAGCTCCTCTGGTAACGTATGTCACTTGATTGTTCATCAATTTTTTTAAGTAATCAGCCATTTTCCCATACACTATTTTGTGAATCTACGGACATATCGCAAGTATGCGATAAAAAGCTATCTCAGGCCTTGTAGTATTTTCTCTACCAAAGTTCCTCATATTACGCCAGACAGCTTCTAAACCTGCTGATATTCCAAATGAGATAAAAGTTAAAGATGAATATCATGAGTTCTACTATATATCACTAACGTGTAGTTTAAAACGCAGTATCAATAGTACCGATATGTTCTTCCCAACTCAGGAGAATGTTAACGTGAATCCTAAATACACATATTCGCCTAAGTATATGTTATTGGTCAATAATGGAGTTGCAGTTAGTGAGAAATCTTGCGCAAGTAACATTCCAACACCCATCTTCACATTAAGGGGGGCCCCCCCACCCGTTTTTTTCCAGCAGTTTGTGGAGGACACTTCGAAGTATACGTCTCAACAAAGCTTTCAGTTTCCAGATTTATAGTTTTTGATAAAAAAAATTTTTAAGTTTTTTTCGGGTTTTTTGCCCTATTTTTAAAATTTCAATAAAAACTTCATTTTTTGATATGAAGAGTTGATTAAGGAGAAAAACTTTACATCG